GTAATCGCGAAAACTGCTGTCAATACCTTCCATCGTGTAATTGTGCAGAAAAGTGATTGACATCGTCCAGTTTGAGACATTTTCTTGGTTAGTCACACGTGATCGTTATCTTATTAAAAACCATTGATTCTGACACGCGTTGGATTCTATGACATTTAAAATGCCGACTGGTCAGGTTTTGGTAGCCTAAATTAAATGAAACATGTTTTAAGACTTATATTTTTTTATTTATTTCAGAAAATAAATTTAAAAACAGTCGTGTCACGTCTTCTGTAATGTTTAAAATATTTTTTAAAATATTCAAATAAATGTCCTCTAATGCAAAATTGCATATTTGAAAATGCTTCAAAGGTACAAGTTTTTATCGTCCACTTTTGCTACTATTATTCATAAAATCCATTCACGTTTATGAACTACCAGTCAAATATATATATTATTTCATCCTTTGTAACTATTTTTTTTTAAATTGGTGCCTGATCGACATGAAAGCGTCATATATTTTCTTTCACTGGCTCTGCTTCTGTTACAAACACTCGTAAAATTCTTCAATACACGCGTATCACTGCGCTCAGAACCTCAGTAATTTTGCCAAATCCTCGCATTATCATAGTCTTCTCTTTTGTTGCTGTTCAATTCAATTCGATACGAAAATAATATAAATATAGACTACGTATATCTTTGCGTTCATTATTAGAAAATATTCGAACTTTATTTTATATAGCTATAAATCGGTCAATTTGGTGGGATACAACATAAATATTACATAACCAATGTTTACATTATGACCAATGTTGTTGAATCACCGAAAAAGGCTTTATCCTTCACGAGAATAAACCGAAAGCCCATTGTATTATATCAAAATACGTCAGTTATGATTAAATAGGCCATGCTATATCTTGTGTACACATGGAAAAACTCATTTGAACTCAGAAGAACTATTTCGTAACGAGCATAACAGTTCAAGTGACAGTAGAAAATGTTCTCTTGCGCATTTTTATGTTTAAACACAACCCAAAATCACCAATTTGTCATTGTTCTGGCACTATTATATGGAGTTTTCGATAAATTCCAGATAGATATTTATAGTTTAGGCGGATTTTGGCAATTCGATGTACTAAATTTTCTGATGAGAAAAATAAAAGTTATCGGATACCCTAGAAACTGAGTTACTATTGACATGTAACGACTAGGCATTGTTCAGTCGACTTTTCATTATTATTTCAACGAATGAAATGATAATAAAAACTACTTTGGATTGAAATACCACTCGAAATAAACCCGAACTTTTTCACACGGATTTTTAAGTAATTCCAGTTGTCAATCGGTTGACTTCTCATAATGCAGAAACGAAATATAAATAGTTATTGCATGATACCATTAAAGGCACTACCTTTAAACCACAATGGTGATTAGGTTTGACAATCAAAGATGATAAAAGGGACAAGTTGCCCTCTGAAATCCTTCACATACAAAACATGCACATAACAGAAAATTTCATAATATGGTAAGTGAGCTGGTAGGTAAATTTCTTCCATATTAAACTTAATGGATGTGACCCATATTATCTATATCGGTTAAACATTCGATCAAACCGTAGTGAAATAAATAGGTGTAAATTTCGCGGCTTCTTTGCATGTTCCATGCAAATTCAATTGAATTTATCTTTAGAATTATTTTTTCGGGAAATACGACTACTTGCGTGTGAAATAGTTCCAATGAAATCTTACTGAAGGACGCCAACTTATGGAGGCTGACTATTTGTTACTAGTGTCCAATCAACTTTGGTATTGTTTAAAGTTTGACGTACTTGGGTGCTCATATAATATGCAATTGCCATAGTGTTATGATATTGTTTCAAAAGGGAGCATTCTATTTACTTTTGATTTAAAATATCATTGATTTAGACAAAATGCTTTATAACGGATAGAAAGAAGTCTAGTGTGATTTGAAAATATCACATTTTTTTTATTTCATCTATTTTATTAAGTCTCCCAAACGAAGTTTGGGAAGACTTATTGTTTTTGCTCAGTTCTTATTATTATTATTATTCTTCTTCTTCTTCTTCTTCTTCTTCCGCCGCTTTTAAATTTGAACTTGTCCGCACCCGTTCTCCAAAACCGCTTGTCGGATTAACTTAGGGTTTCACAATATGTTAGACTAACATGTCTAGTGGTGCAATCAGGGTTTTGTTTTTGCAATGGGGTTTATAAAGGGGTACTTTGAGGGGCAAAAAGAAAAGAGGGTTTTACTATAGAACCCTATGGGATTTTATTTTTTAAAATTTTCAAATGATTATAAATTGAAAACCGTTCGTGATAGACACAAACTTTTTAATTGAAAATGTTCTAAATAATAAAGTCCATTAAATGAAATACAGGGTTAGTCCCCAGGGTTCACCCCCACCCCCTGCCATTTAAGAAAGTTCTAATACCTTGTAAGTGGTCAAGATCCCCACCCCTAAACCATATATATTCTGGTTTGTCATGCTAAGATGGTTTGAATGATCTACAGGGTTAGTCCCCAGGGGTCATCCCCAACCCCTGTCATTTGAGAAAGTTCTAATATCTTGTAAATGGTCGAGATCCCCACCCCTAAACCATATATATTCTGGTTTGTCATGATAAAGCACATCAAATGTAATACAGGGTTAGTCCCCAGGGGTCACCCCACCCCCTGCCATTTAAGAAAGTTCTAATATCTTCTAAGTGGTCAAGATCCCCACCCCTAAACCATATATATTCTGGTTTGTCATGCTAAGATGGTTTGAATGATATACAGGGTTAGTCCCCAGGGGTCATCCCGATCCCCTGCCATTTGAGAAAGTTCTAATATCTTGTAAATGGTCGAGATCCCCACCCCTAAACCATATATATTCTGGTTTGTCATGATAAAGCACATCAAATGAAATACAGGGTTAGTCCCCAGGGGTTACCCCCACCCCCTGCCATTTAAGAAAGTTCTAATATCTTGAAAGTGGTCAAGATCCCCACCCCTAAACCATATATATTCTGGTTTGTCATGCTAAGATGGTTTGAATGATATACAGGGTTAGTCCCCAGGGGTCATCCCCACCCCCTGTCATTTGAGAAAGTTCTAATATCTTGTAAATCGTCGAGATCCCCACCCCTAAACCATATATATTCTGGTTTGTCATGATAAAGCACATCAAATGTAATACAGGGTTAGTCCCCAGGGGTCACCCCACCCCCTGCCATTTAAGAAAGTTCTAATATCTTCTAAGTTGTCAAGATCCCCACCCCTAAACCATATATATTCTGGTTTGTTTTGCTAAGATGGTTTGAATGATATACAGGGTTAGTCCCCAGGGGTCATCCCGATCCCCTGCCATTTGAGAAAGTTCTAATATCTTGTAAATGGTCGAGATCCCCACCCCTAAACCATATATATTCTGGTTTGTTATGATAAAGCACATCAAATGTTATACAGGGTAAGTCCCCAGGGGTCACCCCCACCCCCTGCCATTTAAGAAAGTTCTAATATCTTCTAAGTGGTCAAGATCCCCACCCCTAAACCATATATATTCTGGTTTGTCATGCTGAGATGGTTTGAATGATATACAGGGTAAGTCCCCAGGGGTCATCCCGACCCCCTGCCATTTGAGAAAGTTCTAATATCTTGTAAATGGTCGAGATCCCCACCCCTAAACCATATATATTCTGGTTTGTCATGATAAAGCACATCAAATGTTATACAGGGTTAGTCCCCAGCGGTCACCCCCACCCCTTGCCATTTGAGAAAGTTCTAATATCTTGTAAATGGTCGAGATCCCCACCCCTAAACCATATATATTCTGGTTTGTCATGATAAAGCACATCAAATGAAATACAGGGTTAGTCTCCAGGGGTCACCCCCACCCCCTGCCATTTAAGAAAGTTCTAATATCTTGTAAATGGTCGAGATCCCCACCCCTAAACCATATATATTCTGGTTTGTCATGCCAAGATGATTTGAATGATATACAAGGTTAGTCCCCAGGCATCACTAATGCATATAACTTTACTGGACCAAACCAATTTTCACTGGACATTGCCCAATGTCAGGCGACCCTGGGAATTACGAATTATGGGAGCTTCGTTTGGGAGACTTCGTAACAGCATCCTGTTACAATCATTTCTTGTTGAACTTGAAATAGAGAATACCGCAGATGCTGATCAATGTGTCAATTTGTACATTATAATTTACGATGAAAGTCCGATGAAATCTAAACGTTATGATAAGAGAGATGACATCAATTTCCATGGTGAACATTCTCTCTTTATGAGGCAAAACTGCAATAGCACTTGTTTATTGAGTTTACATCTCCTTGTTGTTGATAGGATATTTCACATCTAGTGTTCCGTTTTAAAATTTCTTAAATATAAGCTAACAATCTAAGAGCCTCTTATAATAAATCATCTATTTATTTTTACCTTGATTTGTATCATGGTAGAGGTGGTAAAGATACTTTGAAAATTCAATTTCCATTTGAAGCATTACTCTGTGTGGAGCAACTTATTAGGTTTTCTTTGTTCTTGGGAGTAAATAACTCACCAGCTAGATATTTCATATATTGACAACTATTATGAATACCTATGGTAGATTTCACTTTCATGGGAATTGATCTAGTCATTTGAAAATAAAGCCAAACTGGGTTAAAGGGAAGGTCTTGATACATTTGCATGGAGAATAACTGATAGGTTTACCGAACACTATGGAACACGTCAGGACAGCATCTGAACTTCTATGTTATCAATTCAATGAAATCTTAGTTTTCTTCACTGGTCTTTTCAGTACTTGCACTAAACGCAATGCTTTTTCACAACTAAATTAAACAGAACAGTACTAAAAAACACGCAATCCCCAGCCGTCTTTACATACAATGAACAACCAAAAAACTCTTCACACTGAAATCGATTTTAAAATTTCAGAGTTGTTCATTAAATATCATGGAATCGTTTATTTATATTCCTATAAGCAACTTCTATCTGAACATAGCTTACCTTTTCTGCAGACTTTTTTATGTGCGTCATAGCCTCAGTCTCATTTACAGATGTGCCATGTCCCTATAATATAAATGGACACTAAAAAAAATGTTTACGTCTGTTATAGTTGCAGTTGTTCATAAAAAAAATCAGTATAAACTAGATAACTTGATAAACGGTCCGTGTAACACTTAACAATTCAAAATTTTAAAAAGTTTTGAATTTTTTGTTTTTTGGATTTTTGATCAAAGTTTTAAAATATCAACATTCCAAATTTTTGTAATTTTTGGAAATTTTGAAAATTTCACCAAATAATTAAAATTTTAAATTATAGAATTCGTTTTAAAAAAAAATTGAAAGTTAAGATATTTGATCAAACTTTAAAAATACTAAACTTAACGTGCAGTTTTGATTATTTCGCCTTTTGAAAGTTTTATTTTTTTATTTTTGATTAAGACATTAAAAATAGAAAACGGGCAAAAAGAGTACATATGTATCATTATTGCGTTTTGAATTTGAATTTGAATTTGTTAGTCGAAACGGACAAAAGGAATTCTAGGTCAGATAGTTAACTCCTTTTTCACTATTGCGTATGTTCTACACTTTTGACCAAACGTCACTTGCTTGATAAAGCGCCCATCATTTAAGAGTAACAGTGAAAACTGACCAACTCGTAGTAAGCCGAATAATGTGGTAGGATTGAGTATGTAAATATTTCATATCAATGGAAAATTAAGACATATTGGATAGGGACAGAAATTTTACCTTACAACAGGCCACCAATGGACCTCTCAAAGAGTTTTTGAAAGTTTTCTTGACGTACAGAGAGCGTGGCACTATCTCTACACGCCCCATTCTGACTGTACGTGACTACATATTTGTACATCTCTGCACACACAAACTAGTAAATGATGGGCGCTTTATCAAGCAAGTGACGTTTTGGCAAAAGTGTAGTACAAACAAAATAGTGGAAAAGGAGTTAACTATCCAACCTAGAATTCCTTTTGTCCATTTCGATCAATAAATTCTAAATTCGCTGTTATCTTTTGATTAGTTGTTAAAACCAAATAGTTGAATGAATTATCTGAAACGCATAGCTTCTGTTATATACTTTTTTATAAGCAAATTAATCTGTTTAATGTAGCTTTAAAAAGGTTTAGAAATTGTGTTTTTTTTAAAATAGATACAAAACCTTTAAAAATTTCAGGATATTGATACCTCATGTGATGTCCGATTTGTTGAAAGAAATACAACCTCTTCTATAAATTATTTTGTTTGCTATTAAAAATGATTAAATTCGTTTCGTTCTTTTTACTCCTACTTAAGAATGGTCATAACCAAAGTGTTTCTTATTTTAAAATTAATTCTCCGCTTTTGTGAAATATTCATTTTTTTATTCCATTTTACTACGCTACGATCCGTCTGCCTCTTGTTTTATTTTTATATTAACTTTTAAGTAAAATCTAATGTTCATTTCATTTCGTTTTGTCATATTTCGTTTTGTTTCGTTTCGTTTCGTTTTGACAAATTTCGTTTCGTTTCGTTCTGTTCCGTTTCGCACTTTAAGGGTACCCCGAACACGATAATGATACATGCATGTATGTTCTCTTTTCGTCCGTTTTCTATTTTTACTTTCTTAATAAAAAATAAAAAAATCAAACTTTCAATAAGCGAAATAATCAAAACTGCACGTTAAGTTTAGTATTTTCAAAGTTTGATTAAATATATAAACTATCAAATTTTAAATTTAATAATTTCAAAACATTTCAAAAATTTGGAATGTTGTTATTTTGAAACTTTGATAAAAAATTAAAAAAACATTTAATTGTTAAGTGTTACACGGAACATAAACCTGGTAACATATGCAAACATGACAAAAATGTATAGCATATTTTGTATATCTAAAATAAAGTTTGGCTTACCTTACTTTAAAAAAAAAAAACCATATAGCAATTAACTTTGAAGATTTCGGGAATCAGTTGACATTTACTTCATATTTTCTAACAAATTTGCTCATCAGGCTAATAGTAATATTTAAGTAATAGCAATTACTTACCATTTTAACGTTATGTGGTTAGAAAAGAAGACACATATTTGCATGCAATTGGAAGCAGAAAATAAAAAATGACGCACAAAAATAAGTTATATATTATTATTGAAATGATAGAGTTCCCATAATAAAAAGCAGTTGCCAAGGTAAAAAGAATTTATAACAACACCTTACTAAGGACCTTATGACTAGATTCAAGAGTAGATGGATCAATATTATAATGTTATATTACGGATTACAAATGTGTCGGGATTATAAAATGTGTCCAGTTTTGTAATTGGATAACCGTAATCATATATGTCGGTACACATTCCGGAAACAGCTGCGGCATATAGGTGTCAGACGACCAATTCACCTACTTCAGTTTAAAACGTATATAAAGGTAGCCCTTCCCTGACAAAAAATAGTGCGTTAAGCTGTGAAAATTGCTAAATTTGAACAGATAGGAATTTTGAATTGGTGGTCTCACACCTAAATGACCATTTTACTCCAGAATCTCAATGACGTCAATCATTACGAACGTTAGTATTTGGCGTACATCTACAAGTAAGAGGCTCACAAAGGGAAAAAAATATGAGTATCATTCAAAGGTACGTTTTAACTATAAAATCACTCAAATACACACCAAATACTAAATTAATGACTGAAAGTATTATAATGATATAAAGTATTGTGTTGGCAGGATAACTTATAGCACATGTTTTTTTTTTTTTTAAACTAGATACCCGAGAAATGATTGTGGCCCAATTTTGGGCAATTTTAGATAAGGCAGATTATTGTAAAAGCTTACGGACGACGGATGCCGAATCGGCACCTCGTATTTATGGGCCAAAAGAGCTATTGTCATCGCATGGCATCCGTCGTCGTAAACTGTTTCAAAGATCTTCTCCTCTGAAACTACTGAACCAATTTCAACAAAACTTGGAGTGAATGATCCTTGTGGTATCTAGAATAAAGTTTGTGTTTTACTCCGGTCATTCAACAAACATGTTCGCCATAGCTAAAAAAAAACATAGGTGCGAAATGCATTTTTTTGCTCATATCTCAAAAACTAATGCAGTTGTCAGACGGATCAAACAACCCAATTTGGAGTTATTGCCCTGATATAATAATTTTTATGAAATATCCAGTTTTTGGTTATTATTTTGAAAACTAATATAGATAAACAGCACAAAGGTTCATCAAAGTAAGATCTACTAAAATGTCTAAGCACCGAATTCGTCAAGTGATCCTTTATAGGAGTTACTACCCTATATTTATTAAATTTAAATTGTTTAATCAAAAACTATAATAAATAGAAAGCAACTTTGAATGGCAAAAACCTTCAGGAAAGTAAGACCTACAAATAAGTCAAATGACCGAAATCGTCAATAGATCCCTTATAGGAGTTTTTGCCTTTGAAAGATGATTTTTACCATTTTTTCAGGAACTATGATAGATAGAGAGAAACTTTACATGACAAAAATGTGTTCAGCAAAGCAAGACATAAAACAAGTTAACATGACCCAAATCCTCAATTCAACCATTATAGGAGTTATTACTTTTGAAAGAAGATTTTATTTTCATTATTTTTAGTTTTTTGCAGTGACTATGATAATATGTGAGAAACTTCAAGCAGCAAACATGTTCTACAAATAAGTCACATGACTGAAAATATCAATTGATTCTTTATAGGAGTTATTGCCCTGAAAAATTATGTTTACCAATTATTTTGTTGTTGTTTGCAGTAACTTTGATAGATATAGAGAACCTTTAAATGGAAATATTGTTCATAAAAGTAAGACCTACAAATAAGTCAAATAACCCAATTTTTTGTTTTTTTTGCTGAAACTATGATAAAAAGAAACTTTCAATGTCATGTTTAAACACGCATTAATATACATTAATCATGTAAATAACCTTGAAGGAAGATCTACACAAACAAATCCAGGTGAAAGATTTAGGAGTCTCAATACAATGCTGATCAATTAATTGTTGTTTAATAAATAAAAATAAAGAAAATATCAACAATAAAATAACCAAAACTAAAATTGATTTATTTTAATATATCTACAAATCAGTACCTCGTTTTTTCTATGAAAATGCTTCATTTTTGTTTAATAAAAGTAAAAAAAATATAAACAACAAAACAAAGAATGTAATAGTAAGATTATAATGATTAAAATAGATAAAAAAGACAAACCAGAATATAAATGCTGCGAAATGACCAACATGAGTATCAAGAAATTTTAATGGAATGCCACAAAAACCACAAGAGTTTATAAGGTCTGAAACAGTGGAAAATAAATAAGGCAGTATTTTGTCTTCATGGCGTGTCGATTTGTCTTGATACCGAACTGTCTTACCCTGGTACCGATTTTGTCTCTCACAAGTGCCGATTTGATCCAATGCAGAAGTCTATAGAATTAACTTTTAATATAATAAGTAGGGAAGGTACCACGCTCTTAAAGTACAATTGAACAATCATTTTTCTATTGCAATTCAAACTTTCCTGCCCTTCATCCATATCAACCTACTTTGCAGAACGCATTTATATTCATTTTTAATTTTGTTCGTCCTGAGTTTGCATGGAATATTTCTCACTGCACTGGACGTTGGGGAAAAAACAATCAATTAATCAAAACATATTTTAGGTATCACGATATATGTACATATACATCTTGAAAATATTTAAATAATCTTATAGGTTTCAAAAGGAGTAAGAATAGGATAAAGCTTGATATCAACTCTGAGTTGTTTAATTTCAATGTAATAATAAACGAGCCTTTTTATTATTATTAATTAAATTAAATGACGATATATAGTTTATATCGGGCGATATCTAATCCTTGCGAGTTTGTGAACCTATTTCTTGTATGTTAAACATTCTAGAATGTTTGTGTAAACAGAAAATTCCGCGACTCGTGGCAAATATCGTTTCATGTTGTTGGATGGCTTACCCAGCAACATGAAACAATATTTGCCACGAGTCGCGGAATTTTCTGTTTACACAAACATTTTAGAATGTTTAACATACGAGAGAATCACAATA